GAGAGAGAGAGAGAGAGAGAGAGAGAGAGCAGACTGACGTTATTTGCCGTCATTTTAATGTCAAAAGAATATTGAAGGCGTTATTTTGATATCAAAATGACGACAAATAATGTCAGCTTACTACCTGGGTTTTTACTAATAAAAAAAAATACATATTTCGTATTTTTCACAAGTTAGAAAAATTCAATGGGAGTTGTAGTATGGTGTTTGAGCAATTATAGGTATATTTTGGCGCATTAAGAACTGAAATTTGGGGAAACAAAATAAACACAACAGAGTATATACAATACATAATAACAAAACAAACAATGAGGTGTAAAAATTATATAATTTATTTTTGTAGATTCTTTTTTATGATATTAACGAATACATAAGTTTTATTAAATATTCGAGGATTTCATTTCCGGTGTGTTGTGAGAAGATGAACAATAGTCAGTGGGCAGAGCAAAGAGTGAAATGAGAGAGAGAGAGAGAGAGAGAGAGAGAGAGAGAGAGAGAGAGAGAGAGAGAGAGGTGTGTGTGAGAGAGAGATAGTAGACGGTGGCGAAAGAGGGAGTGCAGAGAAGGGTCTGAGAGTGTGGGGGTAGTGGAGGAAAAGGACTGGGGCGGGGAAAAGGAGAGAGAAGTAAGGGATAGAGGTTAGGTGATATTTGGTAGGATAGAACGAGTGGAGCGAGGGGAGGGGTAGAGGGTCTGGAAGCGGATGGTGGGAACAAGTGCGTTTGGAAAAGCATAGGAGGAAGAGCAGGTCGGTTTGGAGAGAGATCGAGTGTGTTCGAAAGGGAGAAGGAGAGGGAAGGTAAAGGGAGGGAGAGAGGGAAAGAAAGAGTGAGGGAGAGAGAGAGGGGGGGAGAGAGAGGGGGGGGGGGATGAAAGAGAGAAAGAAAGAAGGGAATAGATGACGGATAGAATTAGAAAGATAGACAAAGATAGGCGAGGAAGTACGGGGGAGTTGGCGAGGTTTCTACGAAGGAAAATGGAAGAGGAGGGAGGAGAGGTATAGGTGGAGGGAAGGAAGATAGAAGGGATGGCACCCAGTTGGACACGGCTCAATTGGCCACTCACAGCGATTGAGACTACAAAGCTCCTAAGCACCGGTCGCTGTGATTGGTGGTGTCCAATCGAGCCGTGATCAATCGGGATCACCCCGTGGGGAGGTACCCCATGGAGACTGAAAGTGCCTATAGGCTACCATATGATAATGATGTATACACATTTCCGTCCTATATGCACCTACATGTTTCTATACGTCAAGATGCAGTATCCTATAGGCCTTTAATTCCCATAGGCATCTCTTCCGCATTCCTATGGGTACCTATACTAACTTGATAGAATAATTCTATAGAAATAATTAAAAATAGTTCAAACTGAATATAATTCCACATTATGAATTTAACAGGGTGTTTTTATATACATTTTAGGTTAATATTCTTATGGCTTCCACGGGTGCTTTCTATATAAAGATTATGCGTTTGGTGGGTTTTCTCCGTGTCTAGATCCATTCTTGAAATTCCAACGTTTCGTACTAAATTTCCTGTCATCCTATATATACATGCTGCTTAAATCCTATAGGTATCTATTGTAAGAAATTTAGAGAAAATAGGCACAACAGAGAAGCTATCAGCATCAGGACTGTGTGGCTCAGTGGCAGAACGAAAGTCTACCAATTCGGAGGAAAGACCAGGCCTGGGTTCGAGACGAGAAACGCCCTGATATTTTTCTCTGTTGTCATCAATTGTTTACACTGTAAAAGCTCCTACAGAGGCTGTGTTCCAAAATTTACTGTCAGCACTGAAAATCTATAATGCACATAACGTAAACTATAGATTTTCAGTACTGGCAGCAAATTTTGGAACAGAGTCAGAATCATATAGTCCTCTATAGGAACCTATGAAAAAACCCATGGGAATTTACAGCAAGATAGGAGCCTCCTCCCATAGGGACCTGTCGAATTTACCATGAGTACCTATGGTTAGGCAAACCCATAGGAAAATTCCCCATGGGAATTTGCAGCAGGGTTTTACGATTATATTTCTTTTCCTTTCTTCTTTCTCCCTCCATTCACTTCTTCTCTCCAATCTTCGTATTCTTTCCATTCATATTTGATTCCCTTCTCTCTTACCTATTTCATCCTCCTCTCCTTTTCCTACCCCTACCCCTTTTCACTCAACTGCCCCTCCCTTCACTTTACCTTTCCAATGCCTTTATTCTCTCCATCATTTCCTCCTTTTCCCTCTTCCATCTTTCTTCCCTCTCCTTTAACTCCTCTTTTATCCTCTCCACTTCCTTTCTCATCATCTCCTTTTGCTCCTCCGCTATCTCTCTCTCTTATCTCTTTTTTCATTCCCATTAACCCTTCCCTTATTTGCTCTCTCATCTCTTTCACCCCCCTACCTCCTCCATTTTAACCGGCGATCTAAGCGTCTTTTTACTATTTCTAAAAATCTCCTTTAAGAGTCCAGTCTCGTTTGTT